TTGGGAGGCTGAGGTGGCGGGATCTTGTAAGCGTGGGAGGTTGAGGTTGCAGTGAGCCGTGATCATGGCACTACATTCCAGCCTGGGTGACAGAGTGAGACCCTGTCTAAAACAAACAAAAGACAAAAGAAAATGTAGGCAGAGGAGCTGATTGTCCTGCTCTTTAACAGTAGGACTGGAGTTTGGTGCCGTCTAGCTTTCCTGAGATTATTTGTGAAACTACAAATAAAGTCCTGCTAAGGTAATTTGCCAAAGTCACACAGAGACAAACTCGACTGCTAGATTTTCTCTGCCTGAGGAAGGAGCAGGTGAATCTTGGCACCCTGGGACTTTCATTTTAACTCTGGAGAAATCTGTGTAACCTGCTGATATTCCCACTGAGCTGTTTTCAGATTCTAGGTTCTAGAGCAACCTGGGTACCAGCTGGAGACCCAGACACACAGTGGGGCTGGCCCACCGGGCCTGAGGAAGAGCACTACACAGTTCACAAACAGGAAATGTCCTTTCACACAGAGGGCTTTTTTTTTTTTTTTCTCAAGATAGAGTTCTGTCTGAGGAACAAAAAAATGTGTTTAGTTGACCATGAAGTAGCTTTAAATATCAGATACTTCCTACTCAATTCAGGTAGCTAATTAACAAATTGGCCTTTCCTTATATCTTTAGGCCAAATGATCATGCTTTAAGTTTAGCAATTCAAGGTCTAGCAATTCACTTTCATTTGTTTATGCAAAATTCACAATGCTGTATCTCTGCAGTAACTATTCATTAATATCTTCTAAACTACATTGTAATCTCTCATCAATCCTTATTCTCACTGATGTTTTAACTAAGAAAAGAAAAAGAACTGAAATCCAGGGTTGATGGCAAACTTAGTTAAGTCCTCAAATAATTACAAAGCACCAATTCGCATATGGCAGTGGTCTCTTGAGCAAAAACTAGGATGTCATCCTTGCCCCAAAAAAGTTTATATGTAACTCGAGATTATCTGTAGAAGGGCCGGGGGAAAACAATCAGTGAACAATGGTAGGCCAAATGAAAATACAGTAGACCGCTGTGCGCGTTGGCTCACGCATGTAATCTCAGCACTTTAGGAGGCCGAGGCAGGTGGATCACCTGTGGTCAGGAGCTTGAGACCAAACTGGCCAACATGGTGAAACTCCATCTCTACTAAAAATACAAAAATTAGCCAGGTGTGGTGGTGCGCGCCTGTAATCTCAGCTGCTTGGGAGGCTGAGGCAGGAGAATTGCTTGAGCCTAGGAGGCGGAGGTTGTAGTGAGCTGAGATGCACCACTGCACTCCAGCCTGGGCCACAGAGTGAGATCCATCTCAGAAACGAAAAAAAAAAATACAGCAGTCCCTCGTTATCTGCAGGGGATGCATTCCAAGACCCCTAGTGGATCCCTGAAACCTCAGATAGTACCAAGCCTTACATACACTATGTTTTTTGCTGTATAGTAATGGGTAGGGTGCATATACAGTGTGGATACACTGGACAAAGAGATGATTCACATTCTAGACAGGGTAGATCTGATTGTATGAGGTTTCATCATGTTACTCAGAATGATGTGCATTTAAAACTATTAATTACTAATTTCTAAAATTTTCCATGTAATATTTTTAACCGCAGTTGACCAGGGTAACTGAAACCTCAGGTAATGGAAACATCAGAAAGTGAAAGTGTGGATAAGGGGGGATTCCTGTAAACTCTACGTGGTATGGGCTGGACACCATTTCCAGATGTCATGGCCTTGTGCTTAATTTCCTAAAACTTTGAACACATATGTTCAACTGAATTCTGCCTTGTTCCAGAATCAAAGTGTTCCAGCAGATAGGCTATTCTGATGTGCCATCTTCAGTGAACCAAAGGGATGCCTGTTTCTTGTTTTTGGCTGTCTTTCAGCCCCTTGGCTTTCAGTAAGATTTTCTGTGCCTTTTATACTGTGTGAAACTAAAACACCTGTCTAGACCTTCAATGGCTCTTTGGGGTCCAGTTTGCTGTGTCTCAAGCCAGCATTTTATTGGCTGTCATTATCGCTCTTGCTTTAGAAGTTATTTCCCAAGCATTTAATCACTCAAGTTGAGGTTTCTGCACTTCAGCTGATTGCTCCATGCTTCCGTCCACCCAGCACCCATTTAGGGAGGTAAAATCATAGACTCTTAGGTTCATTTGCTCTTCCTCAACTTGGATGAAAAACACCTGTTACTTTTGACCAATTGATTTCCCCAATTCAGCTCTCAGAACTAAACCACCCACATCCAGGGTGAAAAAGAGGAGCCCTTCCATTTCTAGGGGAGGCCAACGATAGGCCAGGGAGTGAGGAGGGCAGAGGAGAAAGAGCCCAGGCATGGGTGGTGAGTCCAGGCTTGGGAATTCATAGTCTCTCTTTTTGCATGAATCTTATTCATAGTCTCTTTGCATGCTCCATAGCAGGCCACCAGGCGGCACTTGTTAAAGATAAAAGGAGTCCTCTCATCCTTATCTAGTTCTTGGGTGTCTCCTGAGTCACATTCAGCATGGGGAAGTAAAAAGGGCTCTGAAATAAGCTTCTGTGTCATGTGGTTCTTTTTCCCTAATTGAGTATGGCAGGCCTGAGCACAGGGGCCTGGGAAACCTCTTTTTGGCAAGGGTAGAGTGGAAATCTAGAGCCCTCTATTTTCCCATTCAGTATCTAAGCTGACATTCTGGATGAAAATTTCCAGAGGGCTGGAGCTGAACCATAATTATCCTGTTTTTTTTTTTTTTTTTTAAATTGTACCAGTTAGTACACATGTGATTTCTAGAAAATGTTTTCTTAGAAAACATGTCTTCATGATAAGAGAGGTGAAAAAAAATCTGAAAAAAAAAAAAAAATCAAAGCAAAAATAATCCATTTCAGAGAATTGCACTTCTGTGGCAAATATGCATATTCCTACTAATACAAACACTAAAAACAAAAGTCTTCATTTCTCCAAACTCTCTATTTTTAATTCTGTTTCTATTGGAGGCAGAAAATATAATCTCATTCAGTTCCAGGCATTCTTAGGCACTTCAGGTTTAAACCTACCCAAGTTCCTTCCTCTACTCTGAAATCATCAAACTTTTCTCAGGGATCTTTCATGTCTCCCTTTGAAGCTACCTATTTCTGGGAGAGGTGAGCATCTCTCCTCTGGACTCCAGCATCCCTGTCCAGGTGTAACTCTTGTTTCTCCTCCAGCTGGTCTCTCTCCCTTCTTTATCTTCTGGTGGGGTGGGGTGGGGCGGGCGGTGAAAGCATGGTGTGGCTGGAAGAGGAGAGGCTGGTGGAGAGTAGAGACTGGTCAGCAAACACTGTGCATCCTGTCTTTCACTGGGAGATGTGGACCATTGCCAAATATTTGTCATTTCTGTTCTCTCTCCACCATGGCAATTCTGTAGAACAAATGGCAGCATCTTGCTTCTCCACAGGAATGGGGGCAGGTGAGGGAAGTCACAAAATAAAAGGGAGGATGGGTGGGGGACTCATCTATGAATACTTCACAGGTATCACATCGCAAATTTTGTTTGTGCTGAAATGCCCTCCTCTCTCCTGTGACTCCATCCCTGGTATGATTCACTATCAACAATGGATACACCATTGCTGAGCAGGGCCAGCACCAAGGGCTTCACTCAGAACAGGCTGGAGCTTAGGGCAGAGGGTCCGCAGATCTTTTGTTCTCTCAGCATTCTGAAGAGAGGTGTGCTTGGGCTGAGCCAGGCAGGATACACTGAGATCCTTAGCCCAGCAACCTGTGCAAAACTGGCACTGGTTTACCAGAGGACCCAGCTTAGCTGTGCTCAAAGTCCCGACCCACAGCAACTGTGGATAATAAACATGTTGTCTTAAACCTAAGTTTTATGGTAATTTTTAATGTAGCAGTAGATAAGTAATATAGTAGAAAAACTAAAATGCCCATTTTCATAGTTCTATAAAGAAATACCTGAGACTGGATAATTTATAAAGAAAAAGAAGTTTAGTGGACTCACAGTTCCACATGGCTGGGGAGGCCTTTCAACCATGGTGGAAAGTGAAGGAGGAGCAAAGGCACATCTTACATGGTGGTAGGCAAGAGAGCATGTGTGGAGGAACTGCCCTTTACAAAACCATTGGTGAGACTTATTCACTATCATGAGAATAGCTTGGGAAAACACGCCCTGTGATTCAATTACCTCCCACTGGATCCCTTCAGTGACAAATGGGGGTTATGGGAGCTACAACTGAAGATGAGATTTGGGTGGGACACAGCCAGACCATATCACCAGAGGATCCAGCTTAGCTGTGCTCAAATTCCTGACCCACAGCAACTGTGGATAATAAACAAACATAGGTTATTTTAAGCCTCTAAGTCTGATGGTAATTTTTAATGTAGCAGTAGGTAAGTGATCTAATAGGAAAGCTAAATTGACCTTCTAGTCATTTGAATGGGGCAGAAACATGTTGTTGGGGGCAATAACATGTAAATTGACTATATCTGTATGGAAGGTCACCTCTTATGACCTTCACTGTCTAGGATTTCCAAATTTGGAAACTAAGGGAGGGTAGAGAAGCCTCCAGGAATGGTGCCCTGCCTCTTTTATGTGCATATTTTACATGAGGGGTCTTAATAATTATTGTTGTTCTAAGCTACTGTGTTGTGGAGTAATTTGTTATGTAGTAATCGGTAGCAAATACGTTCTTGGTCCATTTTACTCTTCAGCATCCAAGTATTCAACCAATATTTTCTGCATACCTACTGGCTATTAGGTAACTAGACATAGTTACCTTGTCTAGTAACAGACAAGTAATTTGTACTGGGTGCTGGGCATAGGAGACCTGAGGTGAGCAAAAACAGACACAGTGCTTGTCTGCATGGAGTGGGCCATGGGGTGGTAACACAGATAATCAAATAATCATATTTGTAAAATACAAATAATAAACATAAGTTACAGTAATGCCAGCACTACAGAGGAAAAGGGCAATATCTACTCAAGGCTATGAGGGGAGCCTTATTTATTTATTATATACATTTTTTTGAGAAACAGTCTCGCTCTGTCACCCAAGCTGGAGTGCGGTGGCATGATCATGGCTCAATGCAGCCTCAACCTCCAGGGCTCAGGTAATCCTCCTGCCTCAGCCTCCCAAGTAGCTGGGAGCATGGGTATGCACCACTATATCTAGCTATTTTTTTTTTCTTATTTTTAGAAATGGGGTTTCCCTATGTTACCCAGGCTGGTATCAAATGCATGGGCTCAAGTGATCCTCCTGCCTCAGCCTCCCAAAGTGCTGGGATTATAGGCATGAGCCACTGTGCCCAGCTGAGGAGGATCTAATTTAGATAGATGGGGTTAGGAACAATTTCTCTGAGAAAGTAAACTGAATGAGGGTGAATGGGAACGATAGGAGGAGAGCATTCCAGGCAGAGGAAGTAGCACGTGCAAAGGCTGGGTGCTAGAAGGGGCCTGGCAGATGGCAAGCTACTGTGACTAGGACTCAGAGACGAAGGACGGGCAGTGAGGCTGAAGACAGAGGTCAGGCCACATAGAATTTTGTGGACATGTTAAGGA